TCTGGATCCCTCCAGGAATGATTTTGGCCTCAGGAATTTGGGGGTTGGACTGGCCTGGGAGCCTGGCCCAGGAAAGATGCTCGTCTAGGGCAGCTGGTGGCCATGCCACCCAGATATGCCTCCTTGGGGCAGGAAGAGGCCCCAAGGACTCCTGGGGACTGCACTGAGGAGCTGGGTTGGTCTGGGTGCAAAGGATCAGGAAGAGGACCTGTCAGCTCCAGGGTCCCAGAAAGAGGCTGGCGGGTGGTGCAGGCCCAGGGAAGCAGAGGGAGGTGAGGGTGGGGCCAGGCCCAGAAGCAGTGCTCCTGGGGCCCAGAGAAGGCACTAAGTTATTCTGGATGAAAAGGATCAGGAAGCAGTATTGGTTCCCCAGGTGTCTGGGGCCCCAAGACATGGGATGGGCAGGGCCCAAACTCTAATAGCGTGGGAGATGGGAGGGTGAATGGGGCTGGGGGAGTCCAGGCACTGAGGGGCGATGTACTTACCCTGGAGAGAGTCCTACAGGTAGGAGAGAGGCCTGTGGCAGGTGGTGCAGGCCCAGGGAAGCCAGGCCTAAGGATTTTTGAATGAGGATATTAATGTGAAAGCACTGAGCTGTGCATTCCCTCTATATGCCTGTGGATCCTGATGAGAAGCCGATGGGGAGCAGGAGTCTTCATTCAACAGGGGATGCTTGTGTAATGGAGCTGCCAAATCTGCCTTTCTCCAGCAGTGGGTGGTTGGCCTGCTGCTGGCCTTGACAGGAATCTATTACTTGGCTGCGCCTATCTTGGCCACTAGGACCCAGAGTGTCCCTGACTTTCTCTCCCAGCATACGTTGGGGGGATCTGAAGAACTCAGAAGTGAGCCCAGGAGAGATGTGAGGCCTTCCTTTCTCTCTGAGGTTTGATCAACTTTGAGAAAGTATAAAGTAAGCTGTTTCTATCCAGAAGTCCCAGGGAAATCCATAGTGATCTTAAGGAACCCTAGGCCATGATGACAGCAAGCCCTTCCAAGAGCTCTGTGCAGATACAGCTGTGAGCACTTTCCAAACCTTAGCTCTCTTGAGCCCCCCAACAACCCTGCCTGGCAAATGACAGAATCAGGATGTGAACATAGGTATGTGGCTCCCAACACCTGCAAGTGTTTGCAATAGGAGCATCTACCAGTGGAATATTCCAGAAGGCACCAGTCCCCAGCCATGCAGGAGTGAAGAGGCTCATTTGGTCCACACAAGGCCTTCAGTATCTGTCCAGTCTCTAGGGGTACGCTTTCTCCATCCAGGAAATCTGGGAGGCAGCCTGCAGGACTGTCTGTGGGAGCTGTCCACCACCACAGCTGTGTGTTCCCTGGCCTTCAGCCCTCCCTGCCCAGGGACCAGCTGTGTGGGGTTTGGGTCCTAGAATGGGCCACACAGGCAGCCCAGGCTTTTGTTTGCCTTCTGAATCTGGGTGTTCTAATTAAGTGAATAAATAAGCTACTTTTTAAATTTTCAAACAGAAATGAAACTATACAATAACTCTTACTCAGCACTTATAATAATAAGCATTCATGGAGTGGTTGCTGTATTCCAGCTACTGTTTAGAGGTCTTTAAATGTATTATCACTAATTCTTACTATATCCCTATCAGAAAGTGACCACCAGGTGTCTGGAGGGATGGCTCTATTGGTAAAGCATTTGCCTTGTAAGCACTGGGACTTGGGTTTGATCCCCAGAGCCCAGGTAATAATGCCAAGCACGGTATCTTGGGTCGGTAATCCCAGTGCTGGTGAGGAGAAGACAGGAAGATCCCTGGGGCTTGCTGGCCAGCCAGTCTAGTCGAATTGTTGGGCTCCAGGGCAGTAAGAGATCCTGTCTCAAAGGAGGTAGAAGTCATTTCCTGAGAATGACACCTGAGGCAGTCCATGGGCTTCCACACACATGTACACAAGTGTATGTGTGCATCCCCCCTCCACGAATACAGAGAGAGACAGAGAGACAAAGAGACAGAGAGAGGCATTAAAATGAAAAAAAAAAGTGACTGCCATCTCCATTTCTCAAGTCAGGAGGTGACAGCACAGAGACCAAGTCTATCCACCATCCACAGCTAGGAAATGACAGAAGTGGGAATTGGCCAAATGGTCTGACACCAAAACCTTCAGTCCTAAGCTCTACTACATCAGCCATGTGCCTTTGGGCAAGCACCTTGTCCTTTCCGGCTTTGCTTTCCTCTCCGTGAAATGGGACTCATACCTGCTCTGAGCATCTCAACACTGACATGGTTGAATCTTAATGATGAAGCCCTACCCAGGGTGCTACTGTCTTGATCACCAGGGCTGGTATGTCCCTGTCCTTGCAGCTGAAGGCACCTTATTCTCTGTACAAAGATATGGGAAATATATAGAGCAAGGCTGATTTTCCAAAAAGCCCAGTGATATGGGGTAGAGTGGAACTTTCCCAGGGGCTCATTTTGCCTCTGCGAAGGCTTTGGTTTACAGTCTCTTAGCTGGTGATGCATTGACCCTTTGTTATTGTCCTTTTATGTTTTCCTATCTGTGTGACCAATGTAGGAGTGGACCACTGTGCACAGCAGGACCATGGCTGTGAGCAGCTGTGCCTGAACACAGAAGAGTCCTTTGTCTGCCAGTGTTCGGAAGGCTTCCTAATCAACGAGGACCTCAAGACCTGTTCTAGTGAGTCCTCCTTTTGCCCCTCTCCTAGAGAGTGGTTTGTGACAGGAGTGAAATGTGTGGCTGGTGTAGAGGACAGCAGGTCAGACATGGACCCTTTCTCCTCTGCCCTTTTCTCTTCTCTGAAGAGACTGTGGAGAAGTCCACTAGGGACCACATGCTTTCAATGGCAGTAAATATGATAGTCACTTCATTCCTATCACAGCCCAGGGGCCTTGCTGGCAGATGCCCTAGGGACCTCACTTGGCTTTTGGTTTTGTAGGGGTGGATTACTGCCTGCTGAGTGACCATGGCTGTGAATACTCCTGCATCAACACAGACAGATCCTTCACCTGTCAATGTCCTGAGGGCCACATGCTCCGCAGTGATGGGAAGACCTGTGCAAGTGAGTCCCATCATGTTTGAGGTCCTGGGACAAACCTGTGGGTGCCAGTGGGCTGCTGACTTGTATATGTGCTTATGTGTCCTCTCTTAGGGTTCACTGGGTCCCTGGGGATGTGTGTGACTGTATCTCAAAGACATTGGAGCCCTGGTAGCCGTTTCTGCCTCTGCCCCCAACTTTCCTTCCCCTGCCCCTGGAAAAGGCTTTTGCTGCCTGCCCAGCCTGCCTCACTGTCATTCTAAAATTGGTCAGAGCCCTCGTTCTCACATGCTGCTGTGGTTTGAGTTGTGATTTCTCCTTTCTGAAATTTAGGCTCAAATTTGGATGTTACTGTGTCCCTTTTGAGAGGTGTGGCTTTTCCGAGGTTGATTATGTTGATAGGACGGATTGACGCCTTTCTCAGGGAAGGGGCTGGTTATAGAGACAATGGACTGTTGTAAAGTGGGACCAGTCTCTCCGTCCCTACTTCTTTTGCACATACTTTCTTGTTCTTGTGCTTTCCCATCATGAGATGAAACAGAATCAAGTTGCTACTGGAGCTTGGTGCCAGGCTCCAAACTCAGCTTCCTAAGTTTCTATTCTTCTAATTGTTCCATGTATTTTTTTTAATGTATTTTTTGGGGGGCGGTCTTTTTGAGACAGGGTCTCCCTGTAGCCCCAGCTGTCCTGGAACTCACTATGTAGACCAGGCCGGCCTTGAACTCACAGAGATCTGCCTGCCTCTGCCTCCTGAGTGCTGGGATTAAAGGTGTGCACCACCATGTCCAGCCCGTATTTTTTTTTTTTTTTAAGATTTACTTTGTGAGGTGGGACTGGAGAGATAGCTCAGTGCTTAAGAGCACTGGCTGCTCTCTCAGAGGACCTGGATTCAGTTTCTAGCACCTACATGGCAGCTAACAACTGTCTGCAACTACAGTTCCAGGGGATCCAATACCCTCTCTGGCTTCCACAGGCATTGCATGCATGAGTGTGCTCACATACATGCAATATTTATTTATTTTTAGTTTATGTATACAGGTATTAGCCTGAGTGTATGCATGTGCTTTATGTGTCTGCCTGGTGTCAGCAAAGACCGTAAGAGGACGATAGATCCCCTGGAACTGGAGTTACAGATGGTTGTAAGCTGCCATATGGGTGCTGGGAACTGAACTAGAGTCCTCTGCAAGAGTAGCTAGTGCTCTTAACCACTGAGCCATCCCTCCAACCCTGTATGTATTGTTATATAGCAACAGAATACAGACTAAGATACTATCTCAGCTCTACCCCTCAGCCACCCATGCCATGAACTACAGTGCAGGCACTTGCTGACTGCCAGCTGGCTGCAAGGATTGCCACTGGCGACTTTGCTAAGCACATGCTGTCAGATTCCAGGGACAGATAGAGAAATGGCAGCTCAGGCTAAGGAAAGAGTCTAAGGGGACCTGCTTCTAAGTGGGGGCTCACTCTCTGTGAGACTCGAGTCAGTTCTGGAAGGAGAAGAGATGCCTGGGAAATCTCTTGCCTTCCCGAAAGCCCATCACCTCTCAGCACATGGCCAGGTTTTCATTGATAATGCCTTGGTACCTGTTTCCTTATAGCTAATCCTAACTCCTGTCTCCATTTACACAACCAATCGAAAGATAAGACCCCAGACCTCCTCATCTCCTTCATTCAAGAATGCTGCTGTGTTTTCTGCCCTGTGTTCCTGTTTCTGAGAGGACCAAGATAAAGGACTAAGAGCAGTCATTCTAAGAGAAGGAGTCCAAAATGGAAAGAAAGATAGTACTTTCCCTTCCACAGTCTTTCTAGTTATAAGGCCAAGTTCTTGACCACCAATACAATTGTAGACACAGCATAATCTATCCATCTTTTTATATTGTCAGTTTGCATAAGCAGAAGAGCTCCCTACATAGCTGCACATCTCTAACTGTGCCTCTTATGAGAAAATAGTTCCCAGTTTGGGATGGATTCTTGGATCTGGGCAAATGGGTTGTCCATGTTGCAACTTGCTTGTGGCTCCATGCCCAGCTGCCTGGCAGACCGCTGCTACAGCCAACTCCAAGAGGGACTGGGCACTCAGGTGCGGAAAAAGGGTGGGTGAGTCAAATAGCATTGATACTTGCCTGCGTGCCAAAGCCAGATGCAAGGGGATTATGGGCTTAATTCTCCATCATCTTAGATTATTCATACCCTTTCTTTGTTCTCTTAACTGTGATAATCAAGAAGTGAGCTTAAGATGGTTGCAGGACTTCTCAAACTTTCTCACAGACCCTGAAACATTAACGAACCCTTCTTTCAATCTCTTGGCCTAACTCAGAGTTTTACCTTTACTGTGTCTAAATGTTGCCTGTTTCTCATTTAAAGTGTGTTTGTAACTAATGGCATGATGATGTCATCTGTGTGAGTAAAAGTCCAACAATGCAACTGAAAGTGCATTTTATGTCTGGTTGGGTCTTTATGTGAATGTGTGAGATAATCAGATGGTTAGAACTTTGCTGGGAATAGTACAGAAGAGGCATATTTTACCCACCAGAGTTGTTCTCCTAAAAGACTCTCTGTCTGCTCTCAAATGATTCAGTCCAACAGCTCCATCCTGTAGTCGTGGGCTAGGTTTTCACTGTGGTCACAGCTAATGGGGGTTGTGATGGATGTTTCCCCTGTCCCATGCCACATGACACAGAGCCAGGTGACATGAGTGTACCTTTTTGGCAAAGCCTGCTGGGCAGGGGATGAGGTGCCAGCTGGGGTCTGCCAGGCCTGGCTCAGAGGATAAGGGTGCCTTTGGCCTCTATACAGGCAGCCTCTATTTAAAGCCTTGACAACAGTTGGTCTGAAGAGCCCTTTGCTTGTCTTCTAGACATTGTCTGAAGCATGGAACCAAAGGTCCAACTTCCTGGGCCCTGGGACAAAGTGGGTACTGGAGTAAAGTCCATCCTCATTTCTTCTCAATCCTCTGATGCTCAGTTTCTGGCTACATAGACAAAGTGGGCTAGGGAAGTTAGTGGGATAGTCTGTCTAGCTGAAGCTTAAGGGAGAAGTTTCCCTGTAATAAATAAGACCCTGTCCATGGTCAACCCAGCAAGACTCTACAGGCCTGATATGCATAAAGTGCATTCTGCTGGCCTGAAAGTCCCTGGAGGTCAAAGATCAGAGGCTAGATCTTCTCTGGAGTCAGAGTTCTCAGGACCTAGCCCACCAGAGGCATCCAGTAAAGTGAAATGAATGAACAGAGACCAACTGTCTTTTGACTCCGTGAGCCCTGATACATGGTCCACTCCTTTTGTTACCCCCTACTGTCTCCCAGCAATAAATTTCCAGTGACTCCTTGATTGGTAGTATGGGAGAACCACCCCCCTTCCACCTGTGAAGCCCTTTCCCAGGTCTTCCTCTTGCAGTGCTTCAGTCAAACTGGTGAGGCCTCTGTTCCCTGAGCAAGTACTGCCCTCTCTCCATTGAGGACAGCCTCCCTTCCCCACATCCAGCCCTGCCTACAAAAACCCAACCCAGCACCAGTGTCACACCCACTGAGTGCCATGCTCCTCCTCCTACCCCCTAGGCTTGGTGGAGACTTGTGCTCTCTGTGCACAGTTGTGAGAAATAGCATGGCAGAATATAAAGTGTTGATCTAGAACCCCAAAGACTGCATTTATATATTGTTGCCTCTAATCTAGGCAAGGGAACTGGTCCTCCTTGAGTCTGTTTGCTCATCTGTATACTGAGAATGGTTATTCCTACCTCTCAGGGTCTCTGTATGACAGAGGGAGAGACATTCATAGAAGGGTTTTGAGGGCCAGGGGTGGTGGTGCATGCCTTTAATCCCGGCACTTGGGAGACAGAGCAGGCAGATCTCTGTGAGTTCGAGGCCAGCCTGGGCTATATACCCAGGTCAGCTGGGGCTACAGGGAGACCCTGTCTCAAAAAAAACCAAAAAACAAGGGGGGGGGGAGGACGGGGGAGGAGGGGAAGAAGAATGTGTGTGTAGAGGGGGCCAGAGAGATGGCTCAGCAGTTAAGAGCATTAGCTGCTCTTGCAGAGGACCCAGATTCAGTTCCCAGGACCCACATGGTAGCTAACAACTGTCTGTAATTCCAGTTCCAGGGGTTCTGACACCCTCTTCTGGCCTCCGTGGGCACTGCATGATACGGGTGCACTCACATAGATCCAGGGGTCTTAAGCCTCTTAAGATACCCTTGTTAGGATTCCCACGTTTAGACTGCCCTGCACTAAGGAGAGCCCCCAAGGGAACTGTTGTTATGAAGTGCTTCACCAGAGAAGACCATGCAAAGTTTTGCCGAATGAAAGTCTTTTTTAGCTGGTCAGCAGCTACACAAGGGTATCAGAACCCATGTGCAGCCCTGAGCCATCTTTAGGGTAAGCTTTTATACAGAGAAACCATAACCAGGGGTGAAAAGTTTAAGTTCCCAAGCTTACAGGTGGAGCGCCCTCTTAACAATTTTTATTCTATAAAGCAGCAATTACTATTTTGCAGAAGCAAGCCACGTATAACCGACAGAAGCCATACATCTGCAGTTAGCAGGTGAACTCTGGGACATGGTGACCTGTTCCCAAGACAACTGGGGTCCTTCTGACATGTGTTCCCATACCCTGGGCCAACTGCCTGATAATTTCAGTGACATAGCTATGGTCAGGAAGGTGCCATATCATTGTGCATTGTTGCATATAGACCCACCTCCAAGGGCCAGGCCCAAGTCTGCTCTTTTTAGAAGGCTAAGAGATACCTTACTCTGGTAGAAGACAAGTTTGGGAGTCCAAGGGCTATTGTGGGTGAAACCCTTCTTTCTGGCTATGGAAGATACTGCTAGGATAGGAGCCATAAGCCTTTGGGCTTCAGGGATCCAGTTGGCCACACTCCCAGTCCAGCTACCACAGGCTGATCCTCAAAGGCCTGTTCAGGCTTAGCTTAGCTCCCCAGGGCTGAGGCAGCCCTGAGCAAGGCCAGTGTCTAAGTTTGCTGGGGCTGCCATGACAAAATACCACACACTGGGTATTGTTTTCTAACCACA